GCGAGCGGGCGGAATATTTTGTAATTTGAATACAGAGAGGACTTTATCGATCTCCCGAAACGAATAAGCTAGCGAGGGGCTGGCCCATTAAAACTGATATATTACGGCGGAAGTGCGGTGACTGCAAATTTATCGACTTTAGAACAGAAATTACTTTCGTTCGGAGCCTTTTGTACCACGCGAGCTACCGTCGGCTCAAAGCTAATAATAAATTCTAAAATAAAATTGCAATTGCTCCGAAATCGTAGAAACTCGTATTCGAATATGTTCTACATTTCTGTGCATCGATGCAATTGAAAAGTGAAACTGTTATTTTTTCTACAATGGAAGTATGCAATTTTAGTTACGCAAGTTGAATATTTCGGAGGTGTTATGGTTAGATACCTAGTACGTAGGTCTATTAACATTCTAATCGTCCAATTAATATGTATATCCATTTCCATATTTATTAACTAATTAGTAGCCTCGCGTGGGCATGTCAATTTATCTCTTCGTTACCAAATTATTTAAAACCTGCAGGTGCAAATATTTATCTGTATTTTAACATATATTATACATAGAATCGATCTATGGCAGTAATTTGTCATTTTGAAAATGTTTAAAAAGCTCGAAAAAAGGTCGAGACCCTTTCTCTTACTCTGACGACGTCTAAATGATTAATTAGCACTGTGAGAACACATAATATTATTCTTTTTATTTTTGCTTTCCAAGTAATATTTCTTTTCAATAATCTATACGTATAAATATGTAAAGGAAGTTATGTTCGTAACTACATTTTTTCTTTGAATTTTAGATATTGTGTTGTATTCATTTAGTGGCACTAAAGTCAAAAAATATATTGAAATAAAATCTTGTACACGCTCAAACAACTTTCCAACTAACAGAACGGATTTAATCGCGATAAAGTATCAATTTTTAATTGCGTAGGCGGTTACGGTGGAAATGAAAGGGTTAATTCGACGTTGGGTCGTTCGAAGGAAATTTTTGATCGGGCTAAGGACGCGATTCGACGTTTCCCGGGCCTCGAACGGCGAGGCTAACGAGCATAACCGCCTTGTCCCGATTCGCGAGTGTTGCAATCGAGTTTTCGAAACGATTTCCCGATCGCGATTCGCGACACGCGTCGACCGGATATAGCGCCTCGCAACACCGTTCCGCGAGCGGTCTTCGCGCGCTGATATCGAGGAACGATATGGTGGAAAGTTGTGCTCGTCGATCATTCTTTATTCACATCAAAAACATATTTTAACCCTCCATGTTCCATTAAAAAATGATTGGAAACTATGTAGAATACATAAGAATACCTAAAAGATGTGAATTTCATAGAAAAGAGATCGATCAAAGGTCAACGAATTGAAATCAAAATCAATTAAAACAATTTTACCAGAAAATATGAAATAAACTTCTGGAGGGATAAATAAACGGGCAACTCATGGATTTTATATAAAAAATAAACGTACTGTCTAATTCTATAATACATAATATACATAATATGATAATGTACAGTCGTAAAAATGACCCAAGATTAGCCAAAAATTCAAAGGCTACCATAATGGGAACGTTTGGATTTCTCCACCGTCAGCAAGAAAACCGTTCGCCACTTTCACGATCGATCACCGCGGAATTCCGCAAAGTAATCGCGGGAATCGGCATGCGGCGCGTCCACCGTTCGCCACGGAATGTGGCTGGTTTTCGACCAGTGGAATTTTCTTCTGGGAACCCAAACGACGGCCGTGATTTCACGTACGTTCTATTAAATGGCCCCCGCGGACGCCTTGTTTTTATTCTCGCCACGAACGCGTCGCGTAATTGGGTTACCAGAACGTCGTTCGCTTACCACCTCCGACGATTTCTTCGACACGGTGGCGTTTTCCGGCGTTTGACAACGGTTTGTACTTTACGGTTTGTCGAACCAAGCAAGGATAGCCGAAAGAGCTCCTCGCCGAAACGTTGAAACAGACAAAGAACATCCGCGAAGAGTTCCTTGATTTTTACGACTTTTTCTGGGTTTCTGGAACGACCAAAAACAAACTCCGGGTTTAAAAGGTGAAACTACGTAGTTAGAAACTAGAGAAATACGAAGTCTATGAAATACGAACGTCTTCGGGTTCATGGTTCCCCGGAGTGAATCTCCAAAGGGTAGTTTCATCCCCCTTCCAAAACTTGGATTACTGTATTCATTGTATTCTCTGGGAAATTTCCAAAGTTTCCCCGAAATCTTAAACGACGGAAGTTTGCTGCACGTGTCGCGTCACGTGGCAATTAACGCTTCTTGTTCTCTTTCACCCGAAGAATCTTGGAGAAATTCGCGCCGCTCGCGGAAAGTGAGAGCAGCCCGTAAACGCCGGAGGAATAGTTGGTCGAAACAGTTAGTAGGAAAAAGGTGCACGTCTGGTGATTGAGAGGTACGGCGAACTGAGTTCAGTTAACCATAGACGAGGTATACACATAAACCTTATATTCAATGTATTTTTTCGACCCATTTTTCTGGGAATTTATACACGAATTTAGATAGGTAGCAATATAAACGAATCTAGATTTATAGCTAGGCAGGTGTTTGGTTAACCATTATGTTAGGCAGGCTATTTCTATTTGTGAACAAATTCCTTTGCAAAATAGATTTTGAAATTTTTGAAAAAATAGATGAAGTAATATAAAATGTAAAAATTGTAAAACAAGTTCTAACTTCAAACAGTTTGCTTAAAATATACGGTTGAATACTAATTATAAAATAACCATGTGCTTTCAATATATGAGCCTGAAGACAACTACCGTTAAACACCGTACGTAATTTTTAGCCAATCCAAATAAACGATAACCCAGATCTGATTCGGTATATTTTTCTTACGCGCGGAATAAAGTCAATAAATAACAAAAATATCAGACTTCAAACAGATGCATTTAGATGAAAGTGGGGGAGGAGGGATGCTCATGAAAGAAATTTTTATTTTCATCCACGTGGTAGACTTCACTCGGTACCATTATCGTCGAATTAATTTTCGATCATTTCGATTGATACGCTCTTTGGTCGGACGTCTGGCAATTAACTGGACGCTCCAAATATCGGGTTTGCTCTCCGATCGGTTAATAATAAATCGACGATACGTGCCAGTTCCGTTGGACCGACCCAAATAATCGGTTCCCTCGATCGTCGTTGACAATTATGACAGCGTACGTGGGGGCAGAGTTCCCCTGGGGATCGTCGAGCAAAGAACATCCACATACTTTCGATAAGGATCCCACCTGCGCGTAATTGATGCGAGCTACACGAACGATTAATCTCGCAAAGATCATTTTGTTGATGGCTTCTCGAAAAAGGATGAAGCAAAGCGTCCTGAAACTTTACAATCTCTATGGCAATCTCTCATTAGCCCTCTTGTGAGCTCTTCTAGATCCGCCACTGATATCAATAAACAATTATTATTAATCAAGAATGCTTTAAACTCTTCAAGAAAGCAAGTATCCTCTGATGGAAAACCAGAAATAGCTAAAAGAAATCTAGCTACTTTCAGACTAGCTCAACAGTGTTCCTTCGTCCCGAAACTGATAAAAATTTCACCGATAAGCGACAACAAGCTTCCGTAAACGACTCTGGAGGATATCCTCTTAATTGCGATCCGAAGTTGTTTCATAGTTTCGCGTTTCTGAACAGAGAAAATGGAAAACGCAGAAAGTTGAGGTCACGTTGTCGCGTTCCATTATCAGGAAACGGGAAGCATCGTAGCTGGACACAGACTTGCACGATCGATTGATAAGACCAGACATCGGTATCCACTTAGGGTTCCAACTGACGGAGAACGCTAATCGACTCCGCCGTACAGATACGTCTCTAATTGCAAAAGTTGCCAAAGAAGTTCGCGCATTCGGATTAATGGCCGCGATCGGATCTATCGATTGCAAACGGTAGACGAGATTCCAAATTGCTGAAATAGCCGCCTTCGAGTCACGGGAGAAAAATAATCGCTGTCGTTAGCGTGGCTGCAGACTGTGGACTTTCAAACTATTTCAATTTACGCGGCGCCGTTCGGTTGGTATTGCAGCAAACAGCTTGGAGCCCGTGGCACCAGGTGGCATCACGCTATTGGGAAAATTGTGTTACCGATCTGGCGTGATCGAGAACCACGATGGATCCATGGATCATTCAATTCGTTTCTTAATTTATCCGTATATTTATTTCAAGATGAGTCTGATGCACTTTCACCTGGACGAAGTTTAATCCTGTGTTCAGTCGATGATTTATGTATGATCTACGGGGATCTAAATTGAAGGCTGTCTTGTTATCGACGGAGTAACAGCCTCGTCGGTAAAATAGTACCGATCTATAGATCATTGGAAAATTCTTTCCAACATTTTAGGAGTTAGTTTATCAGATTTAATTAATACTTACCATTTTATGGACTACATAACCTTTCTAATCTTATAGTCACATGTATTCATACTGTTATGAATCTAAAAAATATTCTTTGCTTTTGTAAGTATATTTTACATTACGTATTTTACTAAATCATATAGTCATCTGTGTGTTAAATAAAGTCGACTAATCGTGCCCTAACTTGGATATCAGTCCCATTATAGAGAAATGCAAAAGTCATCATTACGAGTTCGATCGTGGAATTTGACTAAATTAAATCCCTATCTTCGATCGGATCCAATCTACCTGACCTCAAATAACGCGTTTCTATAACGCGAGGCGGCAATTTTCAAAGGCGAGACACTAATATCATTCTAATTGTTTTCTTTTTTGCGCGGCGTAGGAAGTATGCGAATCAGTCGGGAGTCCTTGCAGCTGTGCTTCTCAGTTCCTCACAAAGAATCCTTTTATTATCATACGGTCGTTCCGACCGACTCTCGACGAAATTTCTTCCGTATCGAAGCGTGACGAAATGATCAATGAAACGTGAAAAAAGTGAAATCTCTCTGTAGCATGTATGAACCGATTCGTCATTGCTTTCGATTCTATTATACCGGGCATAGATATAATGCGCGAGAACTGTACTCACCATCGACGTGAAATAGAACTTCTCGAATTCCCTCTCGTGGAGTCGCGCCGACGTCAAGTTTGTCGCAGAGTGCTGCGCGTGTTTCGACAGGATGTCCTCGCCCTTTTTGCACAACCAAGACAGCACCTGCAATCGAAAACAGCAATTAGTCGGTGAAGTATTAAATAATGAATGATACTTTCTTCTCCTTTTAATTATTCCTGAACAATTACCTGTGTAAATAAATTTATTATTCTTTGGACTTTTTTTCGAGCACTCGTTAAGACCAATTTCCTTTGGTTAATCTTTCTGTCATAGTTACTTTACTAATTGCACCCATTCTCAGTCACGATGGTATACGAGTAGATCTTAAAAATTTTCATTTTTAATTTGATTTTTTAAACTTTTCCAACATTCTTAGAATTTGCAAATATTCTTCACTAAAATGCGCGTTGTTTGCATTTTGAAACATTAAAATCTTCCAATCCGTTCAGGAATTATGATTTTTTAAACGTACACATGACATTTCAGGGAAATCAGACAGACAGTGTCAGACATTATATTCTCGGTATAGAATTTTTTTCTCGAAAGTGCGTAAGATTACGGTGGTATGTGTATTCACCAAAAACGATTGTAATTGACCCCTGCAACCAAAAATAATTTTTTCCAGAATCATGCGAAACTTTTCAATTTCACCGAAAAATATCAGCACCCATTCGAATTTTTTTCTTGAATTCGCATAGGATTTCGGGGGTATGTTTACTCACGAAAAATGGTTGTAATTGACCCCCATTGCCGAAAATAATTTTTTTAGAACGATTCAAAATTTTTTTTTTCGCCCAAAAAACTTCTGCACCTACCGTCGATTTTTCTTAAAAATTCGTTTTTGATTTTTAATAAAATTGTTTGACGCTCTACGAAAATGTTGTTTAATACTTTTTTATAAGTATTTACGGAAACTTTGAAATCTGGAAGAATATGGTCCTGAGAAAAATGTTTTGCATGTCATAATATTTGATATTTGTCCTTTCGAACTACGTAAATAAGATTTTTTCTGTTACAGTAAATAAACGAGATGCTTGAGATAATGGAGTTAGTTTGTATTGTAATAATTAAGACCGATTTGCCTTTCATATGGGAACGTTCCTCATTCCTGGGAAATCAGGATAGAAACCGAGGTTATAATCGTATTTTGTCATGTATAAACTAGAAATTCTAATATAAATAATAGAGAGTAGCAGGATGTGAGTAGATTTGCAGACTGTTTTTCTCCAGATTTCTATCACAATTTATTCTATAGAGAAGAAAACTCGTAGTACAGTGTCAAAAGTATTTATTTTTATAGTGTCGAGTAACTCTTCCAAAATTGTACACAAATCATGTTTACTATCTATATTTCTGTTCTAAGAAATCCATAAAAATATTCAGTATCAAGTTTTCGAATTTTTTAGTGTAATTTAAACATGTTCTTGACACTTCAAAGCGAAGTATAATTCGATCGTGAAATTCAGACTGTAATTTTAATTGGACAAATAAGACATCGAAAGGCGTTAATCAATCGTCCGTTAATCGAAATCGTTACCTGCATAAGAATTTCGACCATCTCCTGTTCCGTGATACTTTTCGACAGTAAAATACGCGCTCGATGGCGTCGGTTAAGTTTCACAGCGTGCAACGGTTGCCACCTCCCGATACACAGTTGCAAAATGTAACGCGGCAAGACAGTGAGTAATTAGTGTCTGGTTGGATTCGTTAAATAATTAAGAACGGTTGCAGCTGCTACGCGCTCAGCAGCGGCAGGCCCGGTTATTTATGAACACCGTCGTAGATTGCATGTAAAACGTTCGAATAAATGACAGTCTAGCTTCCATTTTACGTTCCTCGCGTTCCCACAATAAACGCCGCCTTCGTATTAAGCACGAATCATTTATTAATAGAAGATCGAGATAAAGACTGACTCTCGTTTTAATGCTTACATTTTATTGCCTCGCGGACATCGCGATATACGATATTTCCGTAACGATGTTCCCACAGTCGGCACACAGCAATATTTCACGAAATCAATGACGCACGTACCCGATCCGATATTATTCTACAGAATTTTACCGGGTACTAGCAAATCCCGTTGTTTCATAATTACCCCTTTGAGCAGCACGAACGTACGCGGAGTTCGAGTTCCAGCGTGACTCTTAATTGATCGTTTAAAAGGAATTTGATTGTCCCCCGAGGCTCGTTTCCCAGAATCAGATACCCGCAGGAACCGTAACCAGGCAGGGTCAAAAGGAAGACAGGCATTTCGCCGCCATTTTATGAGGGTGCAAACTTCTTTCAACTTGGATGTCAAAAATTGTAGAAATCCAGTCTTCGAACAATTTTTTATTTACTTTTACTTTCACTTACTAGCTCGATTGTTTATTATTATAAATTCACTATTTTATTCCTTAAAAAATACTTTCCGTAAGTAAACTTGAAATATTTCTGGACTGTCAATTTTCAATTTATCTGAAATTTGAGGCTGTGGTTTTCTCCAAAAGCGAGATTCGACGTTCGTTAAAAAGTTTCAGGACTCTTCGAGTACGATCATTGGGTATTGCTGACACAGCGAATTTATCTGTCGATTTTCCAGCGAGGGAAATCAGGTCCCCGGAGATTGCCTCACCTGTCGATCGGCGTGTTACCTCGGAGGCACCCTCGTCGAGGGGATTCGCGAGTGCACCTTCGATAATTAGATCGCCGGTACGGGCGTGTCACGCGTGATTAATGATTCGTCGTTGCTCTCGGACGTGCTGGCGAGCGAAAAGTACGCGAGAATAATTAACGGGAGCAGCCCGGGCAGGAGAATGGCCGACGACGACGGTGGAAGGAGATACGGTGTCGGCGTCGTTGACGTCCTCGACGAGGAACACGGGCCCAAGAGAAGGGACCCGTTTCCGTTCCGCTGGAGGGGCCGCGAAACGACTTCGATCATAAGCAAAGTCGCCGTTTTTCGGGTCACTGGGCCGCGTTAGGCGGACGACGATCGAATATCGTCGGCCAGAGGCGTGGAATGTCGCGGTGAGCCGAGACCGGGGATTAATTCGCCCGAGATTTGGCCTGACGTTTGAAAAAGTGTACCGGTAATTGCCAACTGAAGTCGTGGAAGTAGGTGGAGGATCGTTATTAAGGAACAATTGATGGGGAAACAAGAGGTGGCTGGCACGTATGTGCTCGCGGAACGGACGAGTAACTGTGCTTTCGTAATTAGTATTGGCTGCGTTACACTGATAAAACTTGTTATTATTTCGAAAGTAACCCGGTATACGTTGGGCCCAAAAATTGTTCCCCTATTAGTAGAAAGGGACAGATCGGATGATTATAAGCGAAAAAACAAATACAGTAATGATTCGTAAATTGAACATTTCCATCCCTCTCAACTGGGGGGATTTCCAATGATATTGCTGTGTATAAAAATCTGCTGGTGTCGAAATTCGCCTCCATTGTACGAAAAATGAACACGCCAACGATGTTCATTTTAAGAATCATTATTAGTAATTCAAAGAATACGTAAGCTACACCCATATTAATAATCAGAATACGCAATTATCATCATTCTTTGTTACGGAAAGAAAGAATCATCTCGATTTTGGATTCCCTTTCTCCCACAAACTTAAATTGAAAAATGATCCAAACACGATCATATTCGATCTTCTCTAGCGAATACAATGGGAAATATGAACTCTTTGGTTGTTTTCGATCGAAAAGATGGGTCCCCGGAGCGGAAAAGGCAGTGGTACCTGTTCTGTGCGTTTTATCGAGGTAGAAACGCGTCGTTTTAGCGAGGTATCGTGGTATCGAAGAGTCTCGAGGCGATATCCCGTTAAGGGATAACACACGGGAACTTCTTCGATCATAAGAGCCCGGGAGTGCAGGTTATGCGGGTCACTGGGCCGCGGTTAAGCGAACGACGATCAAATACCATCATCGGTGGCCGTGTGCACGCGCCCGCCGCGTCGTGAGGTGTGTGCAGGTGCGAGCGGACGAGCGTGTGCAAACGAACATCGGGCACCGTGGTGCCACGACCCCGCGTCGCGCGGACCCGTGCGTTTTATCTCGCCTTCGCGCGCGCATGTTAAACCGTGTAAACACGCGCGAGTGTGCACGCCTAACGGCCGATAGATAGGTATTTAGGTTCGCCCGCGGCGCGAGCCGCTTCCGCCTGCGGTGCATCTTCTCACGAGAGGACTATACACTCTACGCGCGATCTTATCGATACCGGGGAATGCCCGACGCTCGGCGACCAGACTCCACGATTCGAATTAAGGGGTTACGATACTATGAACATCCAAAGAAAAGGCAAATTTCCACGTAGAAATATGTAACATTTATTCTCGATGCGTTCATTGTCCCTTAAAATATCAATTTTCTCTTTTAGTGCAATGATTCGTAAAATGATCGTGATTCGTAAATTGAACATTTCTGTTCTCCTCAACTGGGGGGATCCTCCTTGAACTCTGTGAAGCATAAAAGACGAAATTTAAAAAATCAACGAAGATATCAAGTCTATCGCAACATCAACCACAACACTGACACCAAAATTTCACTTTCCAGAATAGATACAGACACGAGAAAATAGATACGAGTCCACCGGATCTCAACGTGGAATTTTATGGTTAAAATTATCAGTTTTCTCGTATTCAAGATACCCGATCGTTACATTCTCGGTTTATCTTACAATTACAGGCAACACGATCCGTATCGTGGCGAGCAAACGTTCGTTTACGACCCCGAGCAACGGGCTCGGTGCATCAAAAGTAAAGCGACAAATTTTACGACGAGCATTCGTAGCCCTTATCGCGGGGGACATTTTCGTTCCAGATAAATACCGAGAGTTTCTTTTCCGTGGCACGATGAAGACCTTCTTCTCCGTAACGATGCACCTTCCCCGAAACACGTGTTTTACGATGCCGCCCGGTTTGGCTTTCGGGACGAGCCTCGTTTTATCGTTCCACATTCGCGCCGCGGACGAGATGGAAAGGACGTCGAACCAGGAACATGATCGCTTAGCTCGGAGACCTGTCGAGACCCAAATTTTTACCCGCGACCGCGGGGTGCTCCGGGCTCGTTTCATCTCCCTTTCACGCGACCCCCATTCGAATCGAGCTGCTTTA